GTTGGGAAGAAGTGAAATACAAATGAAATAGATGCACACCATGTTTAAGGTTATTTTTTGCTTTTTGAAAACGTGGTTTTTTAGATTAATTTTTTTTTTTACTATAATTATTCCACATTACTGTCATAGGATTATGATTGAGGAATTTTGAAAACAATGATTTTCACCTCCCAGATTTTCCTGACTTTGGCTACTTGTCAGCCAAATTTGTGTTTTGGTGACATTTTGTCAAACCAAAATCCACTACTGTGCAAAAGTGTCCCAGCACTGCCAAGCAATGGAAATTGACCCATGGCCATCCAAGGGTTTGAAGATTCACTGTTGTTACCTCAAGTTTCCAAAATTTATCAAAATGAATTAAATTGTATTGAACGTCTTCTTTGCAAGAGACTCAAAATTTTTTGGATTTATCCATTAAGGCAAACTAGGTTGAGAAGTTATTAACTCTGTAGCTGGGTGATGTGAATAAGTAAAAGACTTCTCATTTAACGTGCAATAGACTATATTTTAGTATGAACCATATGCATCAGAAGCTCCACAGACAATGAATACTGAGGATGTGTTCAGACACAACCTTTATAGATATACTGGACACAGGGTGAATGACTGGTCATGAACCAAAAATAAACTGGATCTGAGTGAGGCAGATGACTGCAGGGTACTATTAACCGTTGGACGGCGGCAGCCTCCTTTCCATCCCAGGGCAAAGCTGGACTTTTTCCTGATGGGTGTGCATTCTATTTTTGCACAAGGTTATGCAACCCCTGCCAGGTGGGGGAGGGCAAAGTTGGATTTTTTCCGGGGATAATGAAATGCTGGGAAAGTCCTGAGTCAAACTTTTTCCTTATTGACCTCCAACCTGGGCTCCTGGCTTTCAAGCTTAAATTTGATCTTTGAATGGGGAAACAACACAAGGCCAGGGGAAAGAAGGGAGCCTTGAAGTTTTCATTTTTTTCATTTTCAGGTGAAATTTTTCTGTGGAAAATTTAATAAAATGCCAGGATTTTTCTGGACTTTGCCCTGCACACTCTGTTGGGGGTTTTTTAAATTCCACTCTTGAGTGCCACCAAAATCTGCAAAAAAAGTCCGACTTTGCTGCAGAAGGGTTAATCAAGTTGTGTCAGGAATGTAAAATCAGATGTGTGCTACATAAGAACAATACAATGGATGGGTATTTTAAACATGTCTGGGGACACTCAATTAGTCAATTAAACCTCTGATGACACTGTTTTATTTTCATGTGATGCTGAGGAACCCTTCTATCCCTAACACCACTTGTTGTGAATAATTTCCAGTCTCTATAATAGAAGTTGCCCTCCTTTAAAAGCTGTGAGAAAAAGAAAAAAAATTTTAAATACATTTTTGGGGAATTTTTTTGAATGGTATGCGGTAAATACGTTGGTGTCTTGGAAACTCTCCGCTGTCCATGAATTATCGTGTGACAAGATGCAAAAAATCAGATTCTGCCCCTGTAATTCGTTTTGGAATTTCCAATGATGCCTCCATCAGGCTTGAAGAAATTCCGACGACAGCTGACGATCGAAGAGCAACAAAAGGTGGAAGAAACCCCTCCGGAGCCCATCGACGAGGACCTGGACGACATCGACAAACTCCGAGACGACTTGCAAGCAACCAAGCAGCTCCTGGAAATCGAGCTCAGGAACAAACACGTGGAAAAGGAGCTGAATGAGAAGCTCCAGTCCAAACTCGAGCAGATGGAAACTGAGTTGAAAACCCTGAAAACGTCCCTGAAGGAGACCCAGAAACAGAACCAGGAGTTGAGTGAGCAATTGGCGACGCGCAAGGACAGCGTGGATTTGAAGCCCCTGAAAAGGCTGCCTCTGGAGCCCAGTTTCTCCTTTGCGGATCTCAAGAAAGATCTGAGCAAAGCCAATCTGACTCGGAATGATTCCGTCATATTCAACGAAATTGATGCCTTTGAGGAGGAATACAACAATTTGCAGGTAACGATCAATACTGAACTTGGAACGCATGAGAGAACATTGAAAATACAGTGGGGCCTTCAAATTATATGGACTAACGTAGAGACGCTTGAAAGGGAAGAAATCTGCCTGACATCCAGACAATGTCTTGAGATACAGACACTTTTCGAACATTTCCAACAAAAACTTGAAATGTTTCTAGAAAATTTCATTTTTCAACAAGAAAACTGAAAATTTGCACATTCTAAATTGTGTTATCTCTTGAACAAATTGATCTATTCATATTCTCAATAATCACAAGAAAAATTTCAACATGTGAAATTGCTTATGTTCATAATCAAATACAGGTGGATTTTGCGCTGATTCTTTTTTTTTTTTTACTATTTCTGTCATTTGTGCCTAGTATATATAGTTGGACCTTATTCATGTTATTTGCTGCTTGAGCTCGTTTTGATGCAAAATATCAGATTCTGGATGGTTTTCTTCTGCACTTGAAGTATCTCTGTATCTTGAAGTACAGTTGGACCTCTCTAAGTCAAATTTCTTGGGACCAGACAAAAAATTTGAGTTAGGGAGGTTTTGACTTACGGAGGTTTAGATTTTTTGAGATTTGGGGTAAAGGAAACAAATATTTTTGCTCCAAGGAGAATGGGGAATTGTAGATGAGGATATTCTGGGCCTAAACTTGCTTCTTATAATGAGTTTGAAGCTTGCTGAACTTGTAGGCAGGGGTTCATTTGTTCAATCATTCTTTCACTTTATTTCAAAATGTGTAAAATAATGTATTTTGTTGATTTTATCTTTAATATTTCAAGGAAATAATAACCAAAAGGCATTAGAAAATTTGACTTACAGAGGTTTTAGAGAAAATTATTTTAAGTTAGGGAGGTTTTTAATGCATTGTTTCCATAGGAATCCAGACAGGGACTTGAAAAAATGTTGAGTTAGGGAGGTATTTGACTTAGGGAGGTTTGACTTAGCAAGGTTCACCTGTATATAGATAAAATGTAAAAATTTGTGGGGGGGTGGGGGTATAATGTAATTTCATCAATATAATGATCATTGTGAATTTTAAAAAATCTCTCTCTATAGTCTCGCTTGGCTCAAGCCCAAAAGGAGTCCCAAACCTGGAGAAGCAAGTTTGAGAAAGCATCCAAGGAGCTGCAGGAAGCCAATGCCAAACTCAACCCTTCCCAGGACCAAAAACCTGTTCCAAAATTTGTACCTTCTCCAGAGGTGAGCACATACCACTTCACTTTTCTAAAATTTAGAAGTATTTGATGTCGCTGAACAGTAGTATTTTGCATGTGATTTAAAGAAACAGGGTAAGTAGGACTTTATCAAAATATTCCTTTCATTCAGAAACCATTTCCGAACTATTATCTGAATGGCGGGTGTCCGAATGATTCCTACGCTGTGTGGCTTTTTTTTTATGCCTTTGGGAAACTTTTTTTGTGGCTTTTCTTTGCCATGATTAGGGTAAGGATGAAGGTTGAACTTTCAAAAGCCCAATTTATGATCTCAGCATCAAATTAAATGTTTATAATGCATCCTTGAAGAAAATTTTCATTACAACAAACCTGCATGAGAAACTTGTGAAATGGACCATTTTTGTTATACAGTGAAGACTGCACTTTATCTATTTTGGGTTTGGTTGTGGAAATCTTGATTGAAGTTTGTGAATGCTGAAAAATGGCAAATAAAGTGTTCTGTTCATTCATTCATATTTTGGCAAGAACAACCCCCACAATTTTTTCCAAATTCTTTTCCTGAAAAGTAGCGTGTTCACGGTATCTATATTAACTATAAATTCCGAAAAATATGGATTTTCATCATATGTAAGTCATGGCAGGTGAAAAGTGAAAATGTTCTTGTAAACTATTATGTAAATTTTCAAGTTTTCTGTTTTTATGAGCCACATCAGTTATTTATTCCAATGCAAGTGGAATTTTTTTCAAGTATCATTTAAAAGGATCAGTTTCCAACCTGCAAAAACAGGGGTTAGGTTCTTGAACAGGATATATTTTTGGAAAAATGTCACACACACACACACAAAGAGGGGAGTGCATCTTAACCCTTCCTGGCAAAGGGTTCTTTCCCAGCATAGGACTATGTGAGGATTTTCTGGGGTGGGCCTGTGTTTCATTTTTGTTGAAGGACAGGTGGACCAGGGAAAAGTCAGACTGTGTACAGGAAAAACAGATTGTTGACATTTCCTGAAGTTGGACTTTTCTCCTAATCTTTTGTGGCTGTTTAATGGGAACCCTTCTTTAAGTGCCCAAAATAATGAAAAGATTGAGAACCTTCAAATAATGGAAAAAAATCCAGACAGGGGAAAAAACTCAGCCTTGGGGATGCAGTTTTTATTATTTGTGTGTGGAATTTGTCTGTGCTTCTGAAAAAGGTGAACCTGGACATTTCCTGGCTTCACCCTGGATTCACTACTGTTATGATCTTTTATAGCTGTCCCCGCAGGCGCACAATTTTGTGCAAAAAATTCAACTTTGCCACTGGCGGGTTGATTGAAGGTACTCAAGTAAATATGGTGTATTGAGGGTACAGTACTGTACAGTATATTGAAACGTATCCCCTTGCTCTTTTCGTGATATATTTTGAAATTGCTTATGAAACTGACTTTTTTGCTGATTAGTCAAGCTCAGAAGAAGAAGAGTCCAGTACAGAGGAAGAAGAAGACGAGGAAGAAGAAGAAGAGGAAGAAGAAGAGGAATCCGAGTCAGAAGCAGACGAGGACAAGAAAGAACTCCGGTCCCTGGAGTCGAAGTTGAGAAGCACTCAAGAACGAGCCAAGGCTGCTCGGTCAGAGAAGAAAAGCCTGAGGAAATCCATCAAAGACCTGGAAAAGAGCATCAAAAGCGAAAAGGAAAACTACTCGAGACTCAAGCAAGACGTGGACAAGATGGCCAGACTCATGTCCACCGACGACTGCACTTCCGAAGACACTCTGGACTCGTCCGAGTCTTCCTCTTCCGACTCCGAGTCTTCCAGTGATGCGGACACGGAACTCGAGTTGGATCCCACTTTGGGCAGTCGTCTGCAACTCGACAACCTAAACGTCGAAACCAGGTGCAATTTTGGGGGTTTTTCTCTCTCGGTTTTTCCTTATTGCATCATGTGTGCCCAGCAGTGGGTAGCTAGCCAGACTTTTTCGTGTATTCTTCTTGAGCTCCTTCTGATGCGGAAGGATATCAGATTCTGCGTGGTTTTATTCTGCACAGTTTTTCTCTGTATTTTGACATTGGTAAAATAATTTTTTTCGATTCTCTGGAAGTTCAGTACATTGCAAATTTGATGCGAATTTGTTCTAACCCGTCAATTTCCAAATTCTTCATGTGCCCATAGTTTCTTGATTTTGCTTCATTTATACTACCAATATATTTTTAACATTTTAAAGTCACCATTTTTTAAACATGTAACATTTCAACTTAACCCCAAAATGGGGCATAGTATTTGCAATCTGTTGTGATCAATCAATATACAGTACAAATAAACAAATGCGTCAATGCATTCAGAACTAACAACACCTCAAGGAAATCTTGGTGTGTGAACTCAGTAGCAGTAGAAAGTACTTTTCTTGCATCCCATAAATGAGGTTTAAATGTTCTAATACAGTTGAACCTCTCTAAGTTGAGCTTCAAGGGACCAGAAAAAAAATTCTGCTCAGGGAGGTTTTGATTTGGGGAGGTTTTGAATTGAGCTACAGTACAAAGTCCTATTTTCCTGGGAAACATAGAAAAATTGCTCAAAATGTAAATTATTATATTCTGAGGCTGAAATTACTCCTTAAATGAGTTGAAAGCATCCTAAACTTGGAGACCGGGTTCATTTGCCCAATTAAGTCTCTCACCTCCTTTTAAAACAAATCAATTTCTGTTTTTATTCCTTTTTTCTTCTCTCATGTGTCAAGAAAATAAAAGGCAACAGGCCACAGAAAACTCAACTTATATAGAGGTTTGAGGGGAAAAGCCTTCAACTTAGGGAGGTTTTAAATGCATTAATTCTACCGGATCAGAACAGGACCTGAAAACAATTTGACTTAGGGTGGTCCAAGTTATCAAGGTTCACCTGTATAATCTGTGAGTTGAGTTCACAAAACATGTTCCACTACAAAAGAAAATCCAAGAATACAGTCACCCCTGCACAATGAGCTGCACGCACAACATACTGCCTCTGAAGGCAGTTTTCCCTCCCACAAAATGGACTAAATCTGCATAACAGACTTATGTTGGTTTAAAATTAATGCTAAAAAGTAAATGTTTTAATTTGGTGATAATTGAATTTGCAGCATAACAGACTTTTCGGACAACAGAATAGTCCAATGCACAAATAAAGTCTGATGTGCAATTGTTGACTTTATTGTCAAATTAAACTTGTGGATAACATTTGCAGAGCACAGCAAGCACTTTTGAAACTATTTTTCTGTATTTTTTGGGAGGCAATGAGCACCTGAGTCTCAGATGGGATCCATGCCTTTAGGACTGGGTCAAGGCACAAATGTCACTCTCAAAGCACAAGAAAGAATTTTCCAGAAGACGGTGAAAATCGAAATTAAATCTGTTAAATACCATCTGAATTGAAGGTACTCTAGGAATGCTTGTAACTGTGTTTTGATGCATAAATGACATTCACTTCCAAGTTGAGAAAACAAATTGTTTATGTGGGGACATTTTGCGGCACTGCTAAACAAGGGTGGTAATAAATTGAGGGTGTTGCGTTAGAAGAAGTTGAGGGTTCCAAGTACTGTACCCTCAAAATAAGATTGATTGCGGAATTGTTCGGCCGCTGAGTCTTTTGCTTAAGCGAAAAAGTCACAAAAACTATAGCCAGCCTTGTCGTTCTTGAGTTCCTTTTAATGCCAACCAATCAGATTCTGTGGTTTTCCTCTGTGCAGTCATTTTCTGTATCTTATTGGCATTGAGATAACTTTTTTATTCAATTTTGAGGACGTTATCCCTAACTTACGAAAAACCTAAGAGCTAATGAAATAGGTTCTCATTGAAGTCAGTTAGGGAGAAACTTACCATAACATAAATATGTTTGAATTTTGCTAGTGGATCAATTTATTAATTGAATAAAGTGAAGTTCGTAATTATTTAGAAACATAAGTCAGAATCAGCCTGGGACTAGGCCGGGGACCTTATTTTGGTTTCCCTGATTTAAATTAGAAGTACTGTATATTTCAAGATATTTGTCCCACAAGGATAACACACAAATCGTAAGCTTTTCAACAATACAACACTCAACAGAACTCCGCTGATATTCGTAGATTTCGCAATTTTGGCAAATATGCACAGTTCAGAGGTTTGATTTGAAGTGGCTTCGGTAATTTCGTTCTCCAGTGAAGTCGGGGGGAAACGGAAATTGGTTTCTGGTTTTCTTTTGTTGAATTGCTGTTATCCTTAGTGAGTTCCTTCCCTTTGAGGGTTGGAACTCTTATAAGATTTTCGTGGTTTTTTATAATTCATTTTAATTTAATTTTAGCATTGTTGGGTGTGCGGCGGTTTCCCAACAAAGTCTCAGGGAAAATATGATCTCTACCAGTTCATGATTATGATGATGATGACCCTTCCATTGTTGGGGCGTTTTGAACAAGTGCCAACTGAGTCCTCGCGAGAATCAAATAGGCCTGCATGATTCCGTCCTCAACCGCCTCGTTTATGCACGCAACTTTGGCTACAGTCCAATTGACATAATTCCAACCGCCATTATCTACCATCTGATAATTTCTTCATCAATTCCCCCTCAAATAGAACAAACTGGCGTAGTAAGTGTTGCTTTTGATGCGCTAAATTTTATGGGACATGGACAGCCTCATTTCCACTGCCAAAGAGCAGCTTAATCAACTAACAATCTTAATTTTTGGCACTGTTTTGATCATTTGATGTTTATTGTACTACAGTATTAACCCTTGGGTGGTGGCAGGTTGATTCCCATTGCGCGGCAGGGCTAGGGGTTTTTTTGCATGCTTTCGCATTTCGGTTTTACAAAAGGTCACCCAAAGGCAGCTTTGGCTGATTATAGCCAAAGTTGGGAAAAATCAAGGAAAGGAAAAGCCATTGCTTTGAAAATTTGCCAATGCTAATCCTGTGGGAGGAATGCAGAAAAAATGCCACTCAACACAACAGTAGCTTTTTTATTGAACATTTTTCTGCAGGAATGCTAAAAAATTTTTGTTTTTTCCCAACTTTGGCTCTTCTAATCACACTTGTTCTCTCATTTTTTTACTCCTTGTGGCACACATTGTTGTGGATAAATCCCAGCATCCCTACCCAAGGGTTAACAAAAGCATTGAAATCAGCAGTGGATATCTTGAACACCACTGAAGTACTGCCAATTGATGGGGCATTGTTAGTAATTAATTTTTTTCAATTGTTGAAACTCCATTGGATTTACAGTGGGACCCCAAGATGTGGATGTAATTGGTGCTTGGACCTTGTCCCTATGTTGAATTGTCCACATGTTGGATCTTGAATTCCCATAGACTTCAAGGCAAACATATATAATTGGTTCTCCTGTTTGTCAACAATTAGGAATGAGTCCTCCAAAAAATTCGGTATAGATGTTTCCCCTCAACTCAAAGCTAAAGAGAACAACAGTGAATAAGAAAACCCACAGAGAAACTGGACCTTTTGCATCAAAATGAGCTCAAAATGCAATGAAAAAGAATTGGTCTTCCTATAATGTGAACAGTTAGTAGAAAAACTGAAAAAAGAAGAACAAAATCCAATTTTTTTTATTTGGAATGAAAGTAAATTTCTAATGTAATATTTTTTTCAATTTTTGCATATATAAATATAGCTCAATTCGTTCAAGATATATCAAAATTAAAAAATTACTTTCTCTCTGGAAAATGTCAAGAAAATGTCCCTATCTTGAGCCCATGCCTTTAGATATTGGACCAGATTTTTGGGTTTTGAGTGTCCCTAAGTTGAATTGTCCATATGTAGGGGTGTCCACATATCAGAGTCTCACTCTTTTGTAAACCTTGGACAGCAGAGGGTTCATTTCCATTGTGAGGCAAAGTTGATATAGTTTCTGGAGGTGGAGCATTTCAGTTTGACCCAAGGTTGCTGAAATGCTCCCAAGTTGAGAAGGCCCAAGTTGGGAAAATTTGGGCAAGAAAAATTATCTTTAGTTTTCTGGAATCTTCCACGCTAATCAATCCTATTCCAGGAATGCAGGGGAAAAACGCCACCCAGTGAGGGATTTTTTATTATTTTGCATCAACTATTTTCTGCTGGATTAGAAAAAAAAAATATTGGACTTTTCCCCAACTTAGGTACAGAAGTTGTATTTTTTGGATTCCCAGTTCTCAATGACATTCACAAAAGTATCCTGACTTTGTCGCACAAGGGCAGCAAAGTTGGAGTATTTTTGCAAAATTTTCTTGCTTGCACATCAGAGAGGTGAAGAAAAAAATGACAACAGAGGGTTGAGGGCAAAGTGAGTGAAAATCCGGATTTTTTTTTTTTACACTGGAAAAAAATAAAAAATGCTCAGTTAAGCAACAAGGTTTTCTTGGATTAATCCCAACTATGCCTCAGCCCACCTGGAAAGGTTTTCCTGACCTTCAAAAAACTGAAAATGCCAGAGGATACAAAAATAAAAATAATAATTTGACGCAATGGGAAAGAACCCTCTGCTGTCCAAGGGTTAAAAGTCTCAAACCTTGTGAAGCAAGCCTGGTATTTCAAGTGCATTTTGAGCATACCATGCAGGACATATGGTAAAGGTCGGTCGCAGTTTATTGGGATGGTAAAATGGGTTTTCCTCGCCTTATCTCACACCGAGATTAAACACACCACTCATTGGGCTTTTCCGCAGATATGCAAAGATAAACTCCTGCATCAAGAAGCTGCAAGAAGACTTGAACAGGACCAAGCGGTGTAACCACTTGCTCAAATCCAACGCAGACAAACTCCAGCAAGACTACGAAAGCGAAAAGGCCAAATACAAGCAACTGGAGCAAGAACTCAATCATGTTCTCGCGGAACTCGGCTGAAAAGCACACCTTCTTTTTGTTTTGTTTTGTTTTTTTCCTTTCTAGCTGACAACCAGTTGTCGGCGAAAAAAAGAAACTTCTTTTTTTTTCGCAAACAACCCTAGGGCACGTGTTTAGCATATTTTCGTTAGGTTTGTATTTTTTCTCTATATATGGACCATTGCTCTAAAAACACTCCTCTTCTCTTCTGCTTGTAACAACGACGACATCTTAGCAACAATTGCGGCAATAATTAAAGCTGTGTTTTTACGAAAACCGTCGTCTCCTCAATCATTCCTGCGAGATAAAGCGAAAAAAAATTGCAGGAATCCCGAGATAAGACTTAATCTAATCTTCCGGATTTGTCGTGAATCCGGGGACTCGGAGCGTCACATTCCAGTCCTGGCCACGGGAAACCATGGGGAACCCAGGAAGATTTTTGGAAACTTGTGCCATCATTTTGGCGGTTGCTGCGTCCGTGAAAACCGGTGAGTCTTCGCTGCCAATTTTCCTACGGCAACCCCTCAATCTCATTCTATAAGAGTTAATTTCGCTCATAAGAAGGTTGTTGGCCGCCGGATGCGTACGGCTTCAACAATTTCCCACGCTGCGATGAATCCTGCAATGACTGCAATCACACAGCACTCAAGGGCAAGTTCTCTCATTTGTCCGTTTCCCGGAAAATTAGTGATTGATCAGGTGTCTGAAAATTACTCGAACAGGTGCTGTTTACACAGAGCTAAACACCGCAGGGACGAAGCAGCACCACATTCGAGTCCCAGAAAACTACTACATAATGATCGAGTTGCATAAAAAGGACAACTTTTGGAAAACTGGGCCAGAAAACAGTTTAAGAATCGGGGAAGGGCGTGTGGAGAAGTTCGTCGATGTGGACAAAGTACTGGCAACTTTGCAGCCCAAAGACCCTGAGGCCATCCGAGTACCAGTCCTGACTAATGCGGCATTCGTCATCTATGATATTAAGGTGTGTTTTCATGCTCATCATTAGTCTCCAAAGAGCACCCACAAGAACATTGTGTTACATAACTAAGACACATACGCACAAACACCTGCAATCCTAGATTGGGTGGGAAGGGGGTTTGGTTGTGGAAATCTTGATTGAACCTTGTGAACGCTGAAAAGCGGCAATTAAAGTGTTCTGTTCATTCATTCATTCATTCCTAGATTGAGTCATAATCCCAGTACTGTACTTCACAGTAAAGTGGTGGTTGTGATTTCAGCAAAAGGTGCCAGATAATGTCAATCAAAAATGAAACAAAAAAATTTATCTGTGGCATTCAGCTCGGGATTTTGTTTCCAAATTCCCAAAAGATAGATGTTAAGATGTGTTTGGATCTACTCTTCTACAGTATAATTAATTTGCACCGAGAAAGCCCTTTGTTAAGGAATAACTTACTTTAACATAAATATGAATAAATTTACTAGTGGATCAAAAATGAAGAATAAAGTAAAGTTTGAAATTTAAGAAATGAAAGGCAGAATCAGCCTGGGACTAAGCCGGGAATCCTTTTAGGATTTCCAATTTAAAACTATTTTAACTGTATTTCAATTTTTGTCCCAACACACAAATGCTGAGTAGATAACTTCAACAACACTTCCAAAAACTCAGCAGAACTTTTCAAAATTTTTAATTTTTGTACACTGCACACTAAAGTTTGATCAATGTGGCTTTGTTCTTTGGTAAAACTCGGGAATGGCGGAAATTGAATCTAGTTTTCATTGTTCTTGAGTGGTGTGGTTTTCCTTGAAGAGTTCCTTCCCTTTGAGGGTGGGTTCTCTTATCTGATGCTAGGTTTTTGTAGTCTTTAATAATTTTAATTTTAACATTAATTGGGGCGTATGTCTGGTTTCCCAACACCCTTTTCACGCACACCAAAAAAAAAATGGGCACAGCAAAAAAATTCTGCCTGAGAATGAGTGTATGAATGAGTTTGCCAATCAGGGAGCTATTCAGATCAATTCAAGCATGGTAACCTGCTTCTCTTTGTTATGTTTGTACCTGACGTGCTGGAAGATAAATTAATCTTGCAGAAAATATGCAATTTAGATGAATCACCAGCAATTGGTTTGGTGTGTTCTAGATCAGTGTTCCCAACCTGTGGTCTGCAGACTGGTGCCAGTCCAAAGAATTTTTTTTGCCAGTCCGCAGGAAATTTTCTGTGGCATAATGTATTAGTGAAAGTAGCAATGAAGTCTGTTACTATTTTTTTAATGCTGGATAAATGATAGCAGTGGAAGTTGTCAGATGAAAAAATAAAAGTTAGGTTCCCTCCTAATATCACTTGACATATTATTTTAATCTGCTGGAATAAATTATTTAAATTTTCATTTTGAGAAACCTTTTTTCAATCCCACTTTTCTGATATTCGAAGACATTCCAATATAGTGCTGTTTTTCATTGGTTCATGACTTTTGCTAAGAAAAGCATAAACTTTTCCAATGCCTGCCATAAAGTCAAAATGTCTGAAAAGCGGCAAATGAAGTGTTCTGTTCATTCATTCATTCCATAAAGTCTTCCAGGTTTAAGCAAAACAAAGTTGAGTCTGCAACAATTTTGTGAAACTTTGCCAGTCTGCGGACAATTTTTAGAATAATTGCTGGTCTGCAAAAAACTTTTATGGAAATTTTCCCGTCCACGGGTCCAAAAAGGTTGGGGAACCCTGTTCTAGATTAATCTGGGATAGTCGGTACAATTCTGGAGTAATATTTGATGTCACAAGCTTGTGATGTCATGACTGATGACCTTAAAGCAAATGATGCGTAAAATTTCGTCGGGAATTGAATAATGATTGCCATGGCCTCCGAATGTGTGTGTGCGCGTGTGTTTCTTTAACGTGCGCAGGAGATTATCCAGTGGGGAAAAATCCCGCGGTTTGAATTTCCGGTGTGGAGAATAATCTGGTAAGCCAAAAAATCTCATAGGGTAAAAAAAAAATCCCGAAGAAGCAAAAAAAAATCCCGTTGTACTAAAAATGTTGAAATTGTGGAAAAGTTTCCTTCAAACGGTATTGAAAGAAATGAAAATCTTGTGGATTGTGATATTGTGAACGTATGTTGGGTTTTTTTCCAATACGTTTTAGATAAATTTAGAAGTTTTAGTGGGACTATATTCTTTAAGAGAAAGCAGGTAAGGAAGCCTGAGAAAGATGTCGCCTCCACTTTGCCTTTATCCTTGCATTTGTTTTGCATATAAACTCTGTACTTTTCCGAAGATTCTCACAGTTAAACTCAGGTGAGGAGGAGAACTTCAAATGTACATTGAGTATTCAGATTAAAATTTAACTGAATAAAATTTCACTGTCAAACTGTATTTTGACTTTTCAATAAGTTTACAATTTTATACACACCACACCTGTTATAGTTACCCAAAAAGGAATTTTTCTTATGCTTAAATTCATATTTTGGGATTTTTGTTCCCCACAAGAATTTAAGGTCTACTTGATTATTAGACACATAGCATTTTTAGCCGTGGGATTTTATCTTGGAGCCTTTTGAATCAAATGTTCACCGTAACAAAAATTCAGAAATTTTTACTTTTTTTTCTCTTGGATTCCAAAATGACCAAACAAATTTAACTGGAAAATAAAACGCACATCTCATTTGAAAGCCATGAGAAATGAAAAATTTCAAGACAAATTCAAATTTTCATCAGTTTTGAATAGACTGCAGGGTTACAATTTAATGATTTACCAGATTCGGAAACTATTGTATTACGTTTTCAGACAGCTCCAGGAATCTTCTCGTGACATGAAAACTGTATTAAAGAAAAATTCAAATGCAATCAAACTGGACTGGCATTTTTGTGTCCATTGGATTTTTCAGGAATAAATTGCAGGATTTTTTTTAGTAGGTTTCAAATCTTGAACGTTTTCCCACATTTTCTTCGGAAACCCGATGGATTCAGGGTTCGTGCCAAAATCGCTTGAAATGCAATAAGTCCATGATTTTCCAAAAGGTCCCGATGGAAACCACGCGCTACTCGACATTAACCTACAAAGCGTATCAAATGGTGTCTGCCTCTGAAAAAATCGTGTCCATGGATTCCACGCTGGTGTCACCTCCACTGAATTCCAACAAAGACGACTACCAGTTTGCTGTGACGAAAACCTGGCATCTCGTCGGGAACGCCGGAAACACCTGGCAAATAAAAATCCTGGGATACTTCATTTCCACTGCAGATGATTACATCTTTTGTGGTGAAGGCACACCGTGAGAATGATCAATTTTGTCACATTTTGTGAAGCTGAACCTCAATTACTCGAACCAGTCTAATTGGAATGCTATCCCTGTGTCAAATTTGTTTTCTAGTTCCCTGTCTGAATTACCTTTGAAAAAATGCATTGGAATCTTTCCAAATTGCAAAGGCTTTCCAGAAATCTCAGTAACTCAAATTTTGTGGGGCCTTTGTTGCTGTCATTTGATTGGCGCAACAAAGAGAAAAGCTATGAAAATGTCACTTGATGTGTTTTGAAAAGAAGTGAAACAATAATTGGGCCGATGCTGAACCCTTGCCTCCAAGTTCAGCATTGCATCAAAACTCATTCAAGGAGCAATTTAAGGCCCAGAATACTGTATCGCCAAAAATGTTTCTTTGTTTCTGGTGTTTTTGTGCTGCCCAAGTGGGGAAATTGGTGCACACTGGGGATTTGTTTGTAATTCTACACAGTGACCCTGCTGCAAACCTGAAGTTTACCAAAGTTCTTCTGTTGCACATGCATATCCCCGATGTGCACCAATTCTGTGTTCACACCAGGATTACTCAGGGTCACATTTGTAAACAAATAAGTTACACCAAGGTTACAGTTGGTGCATTTGTGTGATGCTCCTGTTATTTCACATGTGTGCACCAAGTGTAACCCTGGAATGGTAGCAAAATTTCCTCTACAGGAGTGCACACTTGTAACCCCAGAATATCCCATATGCACCAGTTGTGACCCTGGTGTGCACCTACTGTGGGGTCACAGCAAAATAGCTCCCCACTAGGGTGGTGTTACTCCATTTTACCAAGAGTTCTCTCAATTTGACCATTTTGAAATTTGACCCTAGTCCCAATGGATTATAGGCCCCAAGTGGGGAGCTATTCTTTGTGTGACCCCACCACTGGTGCACACTGGGGTCAAAACTGGTGTACAGTACATGGGTTATTCTAGGGTTACAAACATGCACCTCTGTAGATGAAATTTTGCTTCCATTCCAGGGCTACATTTGGTGCACAAATGTTACATAACAAGAGTATCACACAAATGCACCAACCGTAACCTTGGTGTAACTTAATTGTTAAAAATGTGACCCTAAGTAATCCTGGTGTGAACACAAAATTTATTCAAATTATGGGTTTGCATGTGCAGAAGAAGAACATTGGTACACTTCAAGTGCACAGCAGGGTCACTGTGTAGAAATACTGTACATGCATATCCCAAGTGTGCACCATTTCCCCCACTTGGGTGGGCTGAATTGCAGTGTTTCACCTGTATTGATCCCACATGTCACTTATTGCAGGGAGAATTTCAAAAACAACGTGTTGATTGAGGGGGACTTGGTTGGCAAGGATATTTTCCTCAACACCTCGGAAGCTTTCATCACCTTCACCTCAACCTTACACACACAGAAAAGTCAAGGGTTTTCACTGCTTGTCCAGCAAATTCCGAGTTTGAATTCCCCTCAAACGTGTTTCAACAACTGCAATTTCACAGCATCAACAGGTGATCAGAGAGCACAAAATCATGAACAAGAATGTCATTCTGAAATGACAACTGTTTTTATTCATTTTCACCCAGGAAAAATCGATTCTTCTCGAATGGCCAAGAATCCGACATTCAGAATCGTCGGATCAAAGGATTCTTTGGTGATGATAAATTTGAAGAAGCCGGAATCGGCGGATTTGGCGAAAGATTTGGAGATCACTTACGGAGGGCCGAAATCTGAAGCCCCAGATCGGAAAACAACTGCGGAATTCTACAAAAATTTCGCCCATCTTGTGAAAGTTGAGGCTGAAACCGTGAGGATTCCTGTACCTTACAACAACGTCCTGGTGAAATTCACTGTGAGTTTTCATTATTTTAAACAAAACATGTATTTATTCTAACCATCTTATTCTTACCTTCATTTTTTTTGTGGGAAGGGGGAAGGAAATTTCGGATTCGTGATGACCTATGTGGTTTTCCCGATGAAGAAAAGCGAGGTCGTGATCGATGAAGAGGGTCCAGTTCAAATTTTGCCGCCTTTTGGGCAAGACTTGGATTACGCTTCGAATGCTAGATGGCGTTGGAGGTTGAATTCCTCCAAGGACGTCAGTTGGGTCATCAAGGTCAAGAACTTCCGCTTGGATCCTCAGAGCAAGGATTACCTGGAATTTGGCACCGGGAGAGGGTAACAAAAAAAAATCACAGAGAACGTCTTCAATAATTTCGAACACTCCCTTGTCAAAATTCAGTACAGTCAACCCCCGTCTAACGGACTTGATTCGTGCAAGGGACAAGTCTGTCAGACAAAAAGTCCTTTACACAAATTCAATTACATAAAAAATTTAAAATTTCAATTTTCATTGGCAAAAATCCCTTACACGGGAGGTCTGTTAGGCAGGGGCCACTGTATTGTTATAGTGAACGTTGTTTCATCAATGTGTTCATCATACAAGGACGTAAATTTTTGGGTGGAATCCTATCTTCAGCACCGCAATTTTCACTCCATATAGCTTCCTAGGAAACTTGACAACAGGTCAGCAACAGATATTCAAAGCTCCTGACTTCTGTTGAGGAATTAATCAACCCAACATAAAGAATTGAGCCATAGCACAGTGGAAGAAAAGGCGGGTAATAATAAGGCAAGGCAATCAGCAGGTTTGCTGCTTTGAATATGTAATATGAAGTTTACTATAAGAGCTAATTTTAAGGACTGATTATTGGGAGTTAGTGCTGGGTTTTTATACAATTTTGCTGTATGCCTGGGTCAGGTTACCTGACCAAGGCACTGGAGAAATGTGCATCCAGGAAGTTGTGCATCCCTAGAACGGATGCACAAAGGAAAACGAGACCAGAATTCAAGTCCTGGGACCGGGACCTGACGTCCCTGGGCCCGAGTTCTGTTTCCCCAGCAGCATTGATGATGAGTTCAAAAAAATAATCTAGCCTCAAAATGCTGGAAAATTCGCAGGAAAAGTAGGAATGTGGTGCTGATAGCCAGCGGAACCCTGGCCGACCAGGAAGTCGTGCTGGACTCCAAAGACAGCTACATCTACTTGCACACGAACCTACACCTGGAGGCCTCACCAGGGTTCGAGTTGTCTGTTCGCCGAGTGGCCCGGGACCGGATGGCCAGGAACGACGTGGCATCCGGCGCAGCGCAAGAAACACTGTGCTGGCCCGACCCCGCGCCGCCGGGTACGGAGCTCCCAGCCGAACCACAACCGGAATGCGACGCCAACTGCAATTGCCTCTTCACAGCGAACCAAAGTGGGTGGGGTTCTTATGTGGTGTTGAGGGTATTTTCTGCTTTGTTTCGTTGTTTCGAGATGCAACACTACTCAAGTACCAGCAGGTGCTCTCTAGTAAGGCTCGCACCAAGGTTTTTTGACCAAAAATTTGTCCAAAAACCTATTGCCATGTAAGACCCCCGCTCCAGTTTTCTTGGGAGGAAAATCAAAATTTCTTTGCCCATAATACTACATCGCAACAGAAGAACCACTTGAATAGATCAAAGTGGATGAAGAATTACAGTGAGACCCCCACATGCGGACAACTCAACATGGGGATAATTCAACATAGGGACATTTATTTTTCAAAAAAGATCATTAAAATGGCCCAACATAGGGACACTGACTCCACATGAGGACATGGCATGATAAAATTTCAAATCACAATTTTAGGAAAATTCACTTTTATTAAGCTTAATAGCAAGAAACAGATATTTCCAACCCTAAGATCTATGTAAGAAAAATTCTTTGGAACTTTTACTATCACTTTCCCATCAATTCAACTAATTAAAAAAATTACCTGTAACACAGAGGGACTTCCTTCTCTTTTTGAGACTTGGATGTCATTTTTACAGATGCCAACAATTCAATGAACTGTACAGTGGTATACTATTCAATGCTCCAAATGTTCTTATTAGGTTGACCAAATATTCACTGAATCAAATTCAAGGGAAAAAAACCTTTTTTTAATGGAATTCTGAAGGATATTTCCTCCATAAAACACCAATTAAAAATTATATAATGTAAGTCTATGGGAAAAAAAGAGTCAACTTAGGGACAATTCAACTTAGGGACACTCTACATGCACCAATTATATCTGCATCTGGGGGTCTTACTGTATATGACAATTGGTGCCAAAAAGATCTTTTTATCATTTTCTCGGCTAAGGCTAATTTCTGACACAGAAAATGATTTTATCATTCTTGTTTTTTTTCTTCAAAAATGTATCCCTGCATACCCCGCTCAACCCAATTTCCTGCCTGGATTTTCCACAAAAAAGGTGCGATAATCACCATCCAGCAGCCATCATGCTGCAATTCCCTCATCTGCTCTTGTTTTTCCGAACAGGCTACGTGTGGACTCCCATGTTCATGCAAACTTCGGAACGTGCCAAACTCGGGTACCAGAACATCAACGTGACGGGCGCGGATTTCATACTGCTGTACATGGGCGAAGACTCGTTCCCTGTGGCGAGCAACGGGTCCGGCGGAGTGGTGGGCACCAGCACCAATGCGGTCAGCTTCGGCCGGGGACTGGTTTCGGGTTCCTCTGCGAACCCGCCCCCGGGCACCGTCTTGACGTTCACCAGAGAGACAGATTATGGAGAAACCGGGGAAATACGGATCCCCATCGTGGGAAACGAAGCTTTCGGGAATTTCAAGTACCTAATGGTAGGTGATGTTCACGAATTGTTGGAAATTTTTCTGCATATAGAGCATGCGAGGGTTGTCCCAGATGAACGCGGCCTCTGATGCAGTATTTCTAGAGTTCGTTCTCGGAATATTGTAGGAACAATTTCGTGACATATCCCATGATGTTCCAAGGTTGTTGTTTTTTGGATTTGAAAGAAGAATTAATTCAAGATGAAATTGAAAGTTTTTAGCTCAGAGGGATCGAAAGTGAAAGTTTTCAATTGAGTATGACTCTGACAGTTTTCAATTCAGGGTGCTAAAATTGCGTCAGTAGTCTAGCTAAAAATTGAAAATTTGGTCATTGTAAAACCAATATTTTCTATTTTACATTTTAGATAACGGTTGAAACAAGAAAAATCTGTATTCCAGCTTCTGTGGGCCAACTTATGGTCTTCCTTCATCTTTGCATCCGCAGCTGCCCAATTTTTCCCCATGTAGTGCAAACTTTTTTCATTGCGCCAAATTCCAGAAGTTACCAGGAAAAGATGAAGAATTTCATTTTCGCAGTTAGTTAATGGATCTTAAACGCAATTAATAGACCATATATTCTGGATATCTTCAACTGCTGCATGCGTGGGAAGTCTATAAAAATTTTGAAGTATTGTACTGTACAAAAAAACAAAAAATCTCGGTGAACTCGCCAACTTGCAATAATTCACTATGCCGTGAAGCATTTCTGATTTCTCATGTCTTGATGTCAAACGGTGTCTGGACGAGTTAAAAAAGTGCACTGAAAATTGTAATTGATGGAGATTTACAAAAATAAATTGAAATGACGTCTGTTATCTGATTGCGAGTGACTGTTGAAATCATGATGAAAATATTTCATGCGCGTTTTTCGTTTTCTTCTTTTCCAAAAAAGGCCCCATTTCTCGTAAATCGCGATGCATTCTACTTCTACAAATCCTTCAAGATGCAGCAAGTACTTGAAATAGTCGACAGTGATAATGGCACGCAGATAATGGCGCCAACCGAAGGAAATGACTACGTATTTGCCACAGAAAAAACTTGGCAGTTGGTTGGATTGCCCGGACAAACCTGGAGTCTAGAAATCAAATTCATTGATATCGACTTCAGTGTCGACACTCTCATTCTGGGAATTGGAGATGGGTGAGGGCAGATATTCATTCAAGTTTTTTTATGTATTTTTTGACAAAGTTTTCTGTCAGGCAATTGTGTGCCCATGTTTCTAAAATTTTATGGATGACTCAACTGCTCTCAAATTAGTTTACCAAACATAAAAATAGGTACTTGTGTATGAGTTGGCCCAGTCTTCTGCTTTTTCTTCCCAAGTCATCTTGGACAAATGGAGGTACAGTGAGACACCAAGATGCAGATGTAATTGGTGCATCAAGAGTGTCCCCAAGTCAAAATATCCCTAAGTTGAGTCTTGTTTTCCTGTAGACTTACATTATATAATTTATAATTGGTGTTTTGTGGAAAAGATATTCTTCAGAATTCCCTGAAAACAATTTTTTGCCACTTGCATTGAATTAGTGAATACATTTTCAACTCAATAAGAACATTTGGAGCATTGAATAGTGTATCTCTGTACTGTACACTGAAATTTTGGCATCTACAAAAATAACATTCAAGTGAAAAAAGTAGAAGTCCCTCTATGCTGGAGGTAATTTTTTAATTAGCTAAATGGATAGTAATTTGGTGAGAGAAATGCCCAAGAACTTTTCTCACATCAATTTTAGGGTTGAAAATATCTGTTTCTTGTAATTTGGCCTGAAATGTATTTGAAATTTTATCACAAAATGTCCCTATGTCAAGTCAGTGTCCTCATGTCAGGCCTTATTTATTGATTTTTTTCTGGGAAAATAAGTGTCCTTATGTCGAATTGGCTACAGGTCAAGGCATCTGCATGTGGGGGTCTCACTGTACACGCACAGTTGGACCATCCTAAATCACACCGATCAGTTTTTTCAATCTCCTTGAATCAAACAACTGATGAATTCAATGCCATTCCCCTCCATTAAGACCAGTGCATTTTAATCCTACCAAAATACTGGTTCAATAACAGATATTCACTGCAGTCTACTGCATATTCAAAAATTTTCTTCTTCATTTCATGAGAGATTCTCATACATTATGGCAGGTGTTGAACTATCTGTTGTGGAAGCATGATACAGTATTTATTACTTCCTTCCCACAACATTTCAGGTTGAATTGTTTTTCAAAATCATTCATCTTGGTAAAATTCATTTTTTATAGCAACTTTTTCTATCAGGTCCCTGGGAGCTTGTTGTCATGAGATTCTACCATATTTAAAAATATTCAATAAATTGCTTTTGTTGAAATTCTTTCAGCAGGAAGTTTAAAGATATGTGGGTTGCAGGGTCCTCTTTTGTTTAGGATTACGAAAGAGAGAGAGAGAGAATACTGTGATGAAATTCTCTCAATCTATTATTTTCAGGCAAGGTTTCCCTGACACCACTCCCATGGTATTTACGGAACATTCGAAAATCACCCCGAGGATGGTTAATCTTGGATATCACGACGCATTCGTGAAATTCGTTTCGACTGTCCATGCAACCCCCAAAAAGGGTTTCGAAATTCTTGCCACGCGTGTGGGAGAGTCCTGGGCGACGACGGAACCCGTCGACAATGCGACTACCCCGAGTCCACCCATTTTACCGTCTGGCAACACCAAAGTCCAGCTGTCATTCCTCACTCTGGATTTCGGGAAAAGCTTGGAGACCGTTTCGGGAAATGAGAATCAGACCGAGGAATTCCTGATCAGGTTTCAGACAGCGTTTGCTGCTGTTTGCAACTTTTTTGTGGAAAGGGAGAACGTTTCTTTGAGCGAATCCGTTGTGGAAAGGTGGGTTTAACCATTGCAAATTTTCTTGAGAGTGTAGAAGTATGGATTAATTTGGTTCCATCCAACTCAAATCTCCCTCCATCCTTGGGCAGCAGTGCTGAAATTTTTCTGCAAAATCTTGTGCCTCAAGGACTAAAAAGGGAGAAGACAAGAATGATCAGAAGAGCCAAAGTTGGGAAAAATCCCAAATTTTTTAGCATTTCTGCAGAAAAATGTTTGTCACAAAAAAAAGTTAATTTTGGGTGGCATTTTTCTGCATTCCTGCTGCTAGATTTGCATTCGGGGATTTTCAGAACAGTATGGCTTTCCCTTTCCCAGATTTCCCCCAACTTTGGCTGATCAGCCAAAGCTGCATTTTGGTGACCTTGGGTCAAACTGAAGCACAGAAGCTTGCAAAAAAATCCTGGCACTTCTGGGGTATATGGAAACGGACCCACCACCACATAAGGGTTACTAGGAACTGAGATACTGTAACTCCCTATATCACTTGTCTGCTTATATTCCATGCTGAAATCTCCTCAAGAAAAATAGCAACATCGTCATCTCCCTAACTTGAAGACTTGTTCCTCCAAAAACTCCCTAGCTCAATTTTTAGGCCTTTCGGTACTAACTTAATACAGTACTTTTCAAAATAAATTGAGTGACTAACTGGGCATTTGTACCCCTGTTTTCAAGTTCAGCTTCCTGCCAACAGAGAAACAAAGCAAAAGAGCAAGTTGAAAGATGCCAAAATAACAATGGGTGCAATGATGCAATGCAAGAATGCAATGAAAGGACTTGAAAGTAATGTGGTTATTTTATGGAGGTTTAGTAGATTCTTGTTGAAATAAACCTCGTTATTAGAAAAAAAAATTTCTTTACAATGAATTCGTTTTCTGGGTTCCGGCAATACGTATAGCTACAATGATGTTGATGCGATTTCTCTCCAACAGCTCGATAAATCTTGTTCGTTTCAAGCCAAGCTAGCCTAATCCAAAATTCATTCAAAATTGTGCAACTTGCAGCCTTGAAACTTGGTCATTCGTGAATTTTTATTCCGATTATCGCCATCAGGTTTGTGCTTGTGAAAATGAGGAACTGCGAGCCATGCTTCGATCAAGAAAACTGTGCGAAAGTGGACGTCAATGTCACCATTCCAGATGCTTCAGGAAACTATTTCTTCACTCAAAAAGTTCTGAGGTAAGTGATGATATATGAAGCGAAAAAAGGAACCTTCTTCGAATCAAATCTGTACGAGGTTTACGTCTTTTTTCTCCAGGTCTATGATGCTCAAGGGCATCTACAGAGACAAGTTCGAACAGGAATTCAAGGGAACCGCTCAATTGGATCTCCATTGCGACTTCACCAACTGGTATCTGGCCATTGGAGGGGTTCTTCTGGGTTGTGGGGTCTTGTCATTCATCGGCTATTACGTCAGCCAAAGCTCCCAGAAAATCGACACTTCGCAAATCGTCACGTCTGCGTCTCTGCAAAGCGTTTCGGATAAGGCTGTGGATTATACAGCCATGTGAGCATTTTAAAGTTGAATCTTGATAAGTCCCACCTCCTCAAATCAAATTCCTCCCTGTATGAGTTGATTTTTTTCAAGTCCCTGACTGATTTCCCTTAGAATCAATGCATTATAACCCTTGGACGGCAGAGGGTTCCTTCCCAGTTTGGGGCAAAGTTGGGATTTTCTCGTGTGGTTTCTTGTTTCATTTTTCTTGAAGGCCACAAAAGCCAGGCCAGGTCACCTAGGGCAAAGTTGGACTTTGTCTGAAAAAAGGTGCTATGCTAATAATTCCAAAAGTTGGACTTTTTCTGCTAATCTTTGTTTGCCTCTCAATAAGAATCTTCTATCTGGCACCCAGAATGAAAAGGTTGCAAATCTGAGAAGAATGCAACTAATCCAGAGAGAGGCCAATAAAAAAAAGGCTCAGCCTTTGTGATGCATTTTTTTTATTTTTGGGCAAAATTTTTCTGTGGATTTTAAAAGATCCACCGGTATTTTGCCAGACTTCACCCTGGGTGACCTGTTACTAATTTTTTTAAACATGTCCTCACAGACACACAATTTTGAGGAAAAAGTCTGACTTTGCCTCCCAAGGGATAAAAACCTCATTAACTCAGTTTTTTTCTGATCAAAAACCTCTGTAACCCAAATTTTCTGCGGCCCTTTGGTTATTATTTCCTTGAAAAATGAAAGAAAAAATAATTAAAACAAACAATTTATGCCTCTTGAAAGGCATTGGAAGATTAACCCTTGGATGGCGGCTGCCTCCTTTCCATCCTTGGGCAAAGTTGGAATTTTTTCCCATGGGCCTGCATAACATTTTTGCACAAGGTTATGTAACCCCTGCCAGGTGGGGAAGGGCAAAAAGTTGGATTTTATCTGGGGATAAATAAATGCTGGGAAAGTCTCAAGTTCTACTTTTTCTCTATTGATCTCTAACCTGGGCTCCTGACTTTCAAGCTTAAATTTAATCTTTGCATAGGGGAACAACACAAGGCCAAGGGAAAAATGGAGCCTTGAAGATTTCATTTTTTATTTACGAGTGAAATTTTTCTAGTGGAAATTTTAAGAAATGCCAGGATTTTTCTCAAGTTTGCCCTGCAGACACTGTCATGGTTTTTTAAAATGCCATTCTCGAGTGCACCCAAAATCTGCAAAAAAAAAAGTATGACTTTGCCATGGAAGGGTTAATAGAGGAAATGAACCCCTGCCTCAAAGTTTAGCAAACTCATTAATGAGCACATTTATGCCCAGAATATCCTCATTTACAATTTCCCACACTTTTGTAACTTCTCCTGGCAACAGAAGTGTTTTTTTCCTTAACTGGAAACCTCCAAAAATCAGAACCTCCTTCAGTCAATACCTCCCTAAGTTAAATTTTTTCCTGAGCCCTATAAATTTGACTTACAGAGGTTCAACTGTAGTTTTATGACTCAGCCTACTAATTTACCAACAAAATTTCAAATTTCAAATGCAACCCTGGGTCTTTGATCCTTGCGTGAAGCCCAATTTTTCAAACCAAGCAGTATCTGTCCTTCGGAAGATTTTGTGTTGAACTATGGTTCTATTATATGTCTATACCATCAATGCACATGCAAAATGTATACAATTTTGAAGCTGAATTTTGCAAGGTCTGCTTTGGACGAGTTTAAATTCAAAAAAGGCTTCATTTACATCTGCTCCAGGAAGTTTTTCTTGCATTTTTGACAAGTACTATGCCACGATCAAATATTAGCAAAGTTATTGAATTAAATATTATAGTCCTCCAAGTGAAAACACTTCTTTCGCCTGGGTCACCATTTAAATAATTTATAAATAGATAGCTATGCTCATAACTTTTGCGAGTTTCTGTGAGAAGCTGCTTCGGGTACGTTGAGTTATAAAAAAGGCCCCATTTCGATATGTATACTGTAATAGGTATTCCCCCTTGAATTTGACATGAAATATTTCAAAAGGAATACAATTCATATTGAGTATATTATTATATATATTTTAATTTATACCAGAATGAAATTGGCTCGTGATCTATTCTTATTCAGTACGTGGATGTTTTACAATAAGTTTATGACTGCTGTTTTGGGAATGGACGCATCAATTAATGTTGGCAATATTTCAAGAAATATTTCATTTTTTCTGGCGTAATTTTCCAGATTTCTGAATTGCCTGATATATCATACTATCTTATACATAGAAACGCTTGTAGCTTTTAATTAGCATATGGTGAACCCACAATTGAGACTCGTATTTATTTTCATAAAACGCGCCCTCCAGTGGGAAAAACTTTGATTTTTCGAGCAGGAAATTTAGGGAAAACACATTCCTGTGTCAGACGCTCACCCGATTTATTATTTGAATGACCAAAAAAATCTGAACTGGTCCCTGCTCAATATTCAGCGAGTGTGGGACGGCAGAATAAATTAGCATAGATCAACGCAACAAAGATTCACAAGTCTCCTTTATTAGTTTCAGAACTTTTACTTGCAGTGGTCCAGAAAATGTGGACAGATTTTCCATTAAGAATAGAGTTAAACCTCTGTCTGATATTTGGGGAGACTGGAAGAGAATTCAAACGTTAGAATTTTTGAGCATGAAAATTTGGTTTTATACTCCGTAAGGTCAATTGATGGAAGTTATTTTCAATCTAAATTACAGAACAAAGGAAAGAGAAAAAAAAATGTTTTTGTTTTTCTCTGAAGTAAGTGTGATCTGTAATCTTCAATCAAATGTTCCAGTAGACTTCAATGGAAATCTGTTTAATTGGTTCTCCTGTCCATCAAAAACTAGGAATACAGTCCCCAAAATTGAATAAATGTTTTATTCTCAATTTCAAGACACAGAAAATAACTGTGCAGGAAAAAGCTAGACAAAATCGGTTCTTCTGGCATCATAAAGAGCTCAAGAAGCAAATACCAAAAATAAGCCTAAATCTATACTTCGCACACATGATGTTAAAAAACATCAGACAAAAGCACAAAATCGTTTCGTTTTTGAAGATGAATTCTGGAGTAATTTCATCATACAAATTATCTTACTTTTTCGAGTGTGAATATAGCTTAATTTTTTTTACAACAAAATGTTCAAAAAATAAATTTTTAGATTTTCAGGACATCTTGGAATGTTATTCATATCTCGACACATTGTGAGGATAATGGAGCATATTTTTTCCAAATGAGTTAAATTGCTTGTTCGTGTGTCGAGGTCCCGTATTGCAAATCCGTTTAATTAGTTCCCTTCCGCGGGAGAAAGGGGATGAATGCCAATATACTGTAAAATTCCATATAATAAGGACATCTTGGAATATTGTTCATATCTCGACACATTGTGAGGGTAATGGAGCATATTTTTTTCCATTTGAGTTAAATTGTTTGTTCGTATGTCGAGGTCCCATTGCAAATCCGGTAAATTAGTTTCCTTCCGCGGGAGAAAAGGGATGAATGCCAATGTACTGTAAAATTCCATGTTCTCCCGGGAATCCCGGTTTTTCTTTCTTTCTTTTTTAATTTCATTTTATTTTCCGTTGTTGCGGCAGGGACTGGGCCAAGAACAACGAGGGCCTCATGATGGACGACGAGGACGAGGAAGAAGAAGAGATCTTCAGGACAGAGTCCCGGTTCGTCGATGCCCCGTGACACCTTTTTTAAACGCATGCAGTGACACAGTTTCAGGGTCGATTGCATTTTTTCCGCCGAAAACGAGGCGAAAACCCGCCGGAGGGGCGCTATATAAAACACTCGGACGACTTCGCTCCTGTGCTTCTTGTTGCTCCGGCTGCCGAACGACGGCCTTCGACCCGAGAAATCCCTTTTTGCCTAAAACATATACGTGATCGAATTTGCTATTATTTCCTCGTCAGTTTTTTGTATTATGCATGAGAGAGTGTCAAAGCATCAGCAGCAGTGATTTAAAAAAAAAACCGGGTTTCGTATACGTGATTTTATTTCTGATTTCATCACTACTGTATATGTATACTGTACCAGTGTTCCCCAACCTTTTGGAACCCACTGACCAGCGAATTCCCAACCATTCTTTTGCTGACAAGGAAAGTTTCGTAACATTTTTGCAGCCTCTCGTGAAGGTTTTGCTTGAATGACTTTATGGCAGATACAGTACTTAAAAGTTTCACCTCTTTGACAAAAATGAATTTAAGCACCAATGAATCAGCTGCAGGTGAATGTCATCAAAGAAGTAGAAAGGTTTCTCAGATTGAAAAAGTAAAATGAGTTTAATAAAGCAGGTGAATATTTGTCTGAAGTGCTACTAGGCGAAAAGCCGATTTTTATTTTCCACCAGATAATTTCAACTGCCATTGTCTTTCTGAAATTTTAGGTACAGAAAACAGACTCCAGTATCTTGTTTATCAATTTATTATGCTGAAAGTTTTTGGTGGACTGGCAAAATACTTTTGAGATCTGATGCCAGCTAGTCTGCCAGCCATGAGTTGGATAGTATCATATTTATTACTCAAGTACCAATGGGCACCTTTTCTCTCAAAATTAAAAGGAAAAATGGGTGTTCATCATAGGTGGGTATACATTTTTCAGAAAGTTTTAGAAGTTGAAGTACACAATATCTTTGATTCTAATGACAAATTTTGAAACAATTTCAACAGATAAAATGCAGTGGAAAATTTGGAAACTAATTGAATTTTTTTCTAAAATCGAATTTGGGTGTTCTTATTTTTGGAATATTGCAGCTTTAGAGTCATTAAAAATGGGGCTTGTGTCTTACTTGGGGGTACAATTTTATCTTTTTTTTTTAATGAAAAACCCTGGTGCATGCTTTACTTGAGGGTATTTGGTACTTGTGTAAATACGGTAGCTTCAAACTCTGGAAAATTGATGAAGCTCTTATTCAGCTGTTGAACAGTTTTAGATAATTTGAAGTACAGAAGCCTTAGAAAAATCTGCGCTTTGATCTGCGAGAGATTTGGACACTTACTGAATTTATTGTTATGGCCAAAATACAGTCAACCCCCGTCTAACGGACTTGATTCATGCAAGGGACAAGTCTGTTAGACGAAAAGTCCTTTACACAAATTCAATTACATAAAAAATTAAAAATTTCAATTGTCAACACTAATTTTAAACCAAAAGAAGTCTGTTTGGTGGATTTTGTCTGTTGGGCGGGAGGAAAAACTGCTTGCAGAGCTGGTCTGTTCCGCAAAAATCCCTTACACAGGAGGTCTGTTAGGCGGGGGGCCACTGTATTTCTGAAAATTCATTTTTAAAGTATTCTACTGTACTTTGTATAGAGTACATCAAATTGTGGCAGAAAATCATCAACTGCGCTTGATTGCAATCCCACAAGAAAAAGCAATTTATCAATCTCTATTGAAATTAATTTCACTGATTTTTTCATGAGAGGTGTCCCAAGATTTTCCTCTAACTCATTCACTGAATAACCTACAATATTTTTAAATATAGATTTCTTTTAATTTGTCTATAGTTGGCCGGGAATTATCAATGATGTAATCACAAGAATCTAATTTTGGTGATAATATATCAAGAAACAAAACATTGCGAAATCACGATACATTTCAGATTCATCTGAGACGAAACGTATTTGCAAGAATCCTAGTAAGGGACAAGACGTAATTCTGCTAGCATTATTTCTGAACGAAAATTTCCCATCTTTTTGTTCGAAAATTTGTTTTTGTGGGACTCGTAAAAACCCAAGTCTGTCGAAGAAGGCTGGTAATTTTTTTTGTAGTTATTGGGCGAGTGGAAAAAATTATTCTCTTTAACTATGATAAAATTGGGCGTTTCACTGATTCAATAGACAAAATAAATGCGTCAACATCTGGCGAGTATCAAAATTCTAAACAAGTGATACCATATTTGGCATATTCCCTGGAACTCCCCTTTTGCAGTTTATCATTGGATTTCTTCGAAGGTCTTCGGTGAAATTTCTGTGGGATTCTTTCTAGAATTTTGACGAATATCTATCGACACCAAGGAGCATTCATTCAACTGGAACGAAGAGAAGTGAGTATCGTATTAGCTTTAGAATTTTTAGATTTGACCAACGAAATCTTGAAAGCTATTTTCAAGAAAATCTGACGCTGCTCGAATGTACAGAATTGCTTCTTTAGGGTCTCGAAAAAGTGTGATGTGAATCACATTTTGATTGAATTCTGTCAGTATATAGTGAGAACTTTAAAGATTTTTAGTGTGAGTCTCGAAGTACCATTTATATTTCTTGCAAATTCGTCTCACTTTCAAGGAGGGAACATTTTTCAGGAAAGGCTTCCGTATTCAAATAGATTCAACAACAGAAACATGTGAATGCATTCATCGACCAAAATAGAATGTATTCCTGGAAGCTTTTGATGCAAATAACTTCAAACAGGTCAGCAATACTTATGCGCGATTCTCCTGTTGTCTTGCATTAATATTCATCTTTGTCGCCTTTGTCTTATTCGTCTTATACTGCTTATAAATTTCCAAGAACAAAACTGGTGTCTAAGATTCAATAAGATGAATTAATTTTTGGGGAAAAGCATTCGAACTAATAAATTTAAACACATGTGCGGACGTGGCGACGCTTTAGCTTCTCCTGGCGCAGAAAACGAATTTTTTCGATTTTGGCGGAATTTTCGCCAATGTTGACTCTTGAAATATTAAGTCTCAACTGCATTTATTACAGTAGTTTCTTCTGGTGAGGTTCGTCAATTTCAAAAACAAAGCTTTTTTGGCTGATTATCTTCTCCTTCTACATTAATTTACTACTGAATTACTTGTTTATTTTTACTGGAAACATTTTTACACGAGAGAGAGAGAGAGCAATATTTATTAAAGTTATGAAATGGAAAGTCGATAAATCGATAGAATTGGACAGACATGCCTCATATTTATTCTAAAAAAAACAACCTTGAAACAAACGTTGTTTATTCTGAAGATGAGTGCGATGAATGTGGATTTTTTTTTAAAGAAAAATCGTTTCTACTGCAGTTAATCAAGCGAAGTTGAGGTTCCTCGTTTTAAGTTGTTTCCATTTTTCCTTTGCGAACGAGATCGTCAAAGATAAAAGAAATCTAAAGCATCGTCCGTCAGAGAAACCCATAAATGACTCAATTTTATAAGTTAATATGTGTTATAATGACATTCCATTGTATCATTCCGGGATAATAATTTACTGTGCGATATTCCACTAAAAAGCTTCTTGCATTGCTCTTATTTACCTGAAATACGTATGGTGGGGGATTTTATGGCCACAAGATGGCGCCAGGTGTGCTGAAGATCAATAAAATTTGTCCTTTCTATCGAAAAGTACGAATCTGATGGAGGTTTTTCCCCACTCACAGATTCCCTTTATGAAGAAGAAAATTCTGTGTCAACAAAATGGCCAGACTGTGTGGTACAAACAATCCTTGGCTCTTTGTGTAGAAAAAGTGTTTTTCTGGACACAAAACAGATGGCCAAATTTTTTAGTATATCAATATACTGTTTCACATGTATGCTGTACTTTAATGAAGCACAGGACTCAGGGTAATAACCAGTATTTTTCCTTGGGAATTAATAATGTCCAGTTTCGTCTTGTGAACCTGTTTTCATTACGGGCATTCGGTTTTCAACCTTTTCATTGTTATTTCCTGGCGTTATCGATGTCGCAATTTTATCAAAATTAGCTATTGAATATTCGAAGGTTCATTTCTGTTGTGGAAAATCACTGATTGAAGAGGTATTTCGAATTTGGAGCTTTTACAAATAACTTCTAAGCAATTTCAGTTCACCGTATTTTTTGACTAAAGCATGTTATTGTTCATATCAATACGCATCCATATTTTAAACAATTTTTAATGGAATTTTCAGATTATAGCGTCACTTTGCTTCATTTCGTCCTCAATCTGAGTTGTGGTAATAATCACAGGATTTTAAATTTTAAACCAATACCATACCAGCATCTTGAAGGTGGAGAAGTCAACGAAATTGGGTTTCAAGATCGATGAAACCGAACACTTTCTTGGGCATTTCAGCATTCATCACAGTAATATGCGGAAAACAGAATGGCCGGGGCTTAATATTCTTTGTACTGGCCTAAAAATGTAGTCAGGAGGGTACAGCAAATAAGTAAGTCTGTAACAATTAATGAGAAAAAAATGCTCTTCATAAATCGCGGGAAATGTCCTGAGAGGCATTTGAAATCAAATCTCACGAAATTTTCATCAACTTATCCTCTCTTCTCAAGATATACCTTATATTCTCGTTCCCTTATTCGCTGTAAAGAGCATCCGTAAAAAGGCTCAATTGTTCCAAAAGCACGAGAGGAGATAAAAAAAGAAAAAAATTCAACTTCTAATTAGGAAGAAAAAGATCACGTTCCAACAGAAACCCAATCGCACGAATCAGAGCCTTGAAACCAGGTCAAAACCCTACTTTTTTCTCGCACAGATTCACTGGACCGCATCAATTGACATGAAGTTACTCACTTGTTTCCTCCTCGTCATCGTCGCTGCTACGGCGCAGGTAAGGGGAAAAAAAACCCCGCAAAGAAAATCCCCTTCGATTCCCAATTAACGATCCTGAGAACACAAAAACCTAGTTTCTCACATGAGCAAAAAAATTTCTTCCCAAGTTTCTCCAGGAACATGAAATATTTTTCGGCGAGGGGCTCGAAAATAAACTTATTTCATCACGTTTCGAAGTTTCTCCAAACAGTTCAGGGAGGTTTTCTATAAGGAACTATAAGGAATTGTGTTCTTGAAAAAAATTAGAAAATAGGAAGAAGTGTTCAATATTTCACGCGATGCGTATTATATAAACGCATTTTCGATCCCGAAGGTTTTAGTTTTAACGTACGAAATTGAAATTCTTTTGAAATCCCGCGTATGATTTCGGGCATCGGCTTTCAAAGAGAGAAATTCCCAGCGAAGTTTTCCGCGCTGATTTCCTTCCTTCCCGTCGTCACGCTTTCAGCGAATTTTCGGAAGAAACCCGA